AGAGGATCGCTTGAGCCCTGGAGGACGAGGCTGCAGTGAGCAGAGATGGTGCCACTGTACTCTAGCCTAGGTGATGGATCGAGACCTTGTCTCAAAAAAAAAAAAAAAAAAAAAAAAAGGATGTCAACTTATCTGGGCCATACTACCCAGAAATTGAATCGAACATTGTTCTAGGTGTTTTTGTGAAGGTATTTTTAAGATAAGATTAACAGTAAACTTGGAGTAAAGCAGATCATCCTCTATAATGTAGGTGGGCTTCCTCCACTCAGTTGAAGGCTTTAATGGTAAAAGACTAATCTCCCAGAAGGAGAGAAAATTCTGCCAATAAACTTACTGCCTTTGAGCTCAAACTGAACCATTCTCTGGGTCTCTAGCCTGCCAGCCTACCCTACAGATTACATATACACATCCTGGTGCTGTTCCTCTAGAGAGCCCTGGAATTGTAATTATTTTTAAGACAGAGCCTTGCTCTTGTCACCCAGGCTGGAGTGCAATGGTGTGATCTCGGCTCACTGCAACTTCTACTTCCTGGGTTCAGGCAATTCTCCTTCCTCAGCCTCCAAGTAGCTGAGATTACAGGCATCTGCCACCAGGTCCCCGGCTAATTTGTGGATTTTTAGTAGAGACTAGGTTTCACCATGTTGGCCAAGCTGGGTCTCAAACTCCTGACCTCAGGTGACCTACATGCCTCAGTCTCCCAAAGTGCTGAGATTACAGGCCTGAGCCACCGCCCTGCCATGCTGGCATTATAATACACCATTCCTTGGTCCCAGTCACCACCCGCCCTTAGGCCTCAGGGTCTTGGCAGTGGTGCCAGAGCTGTGGTAATTTCTCACCTAGACAGAGAATACCTGGGGCTGCCTTTCCACCCACCTCACTGTAAACAAACTATCAGTCAACCACTGAAGAAGCATTTCTGAGCCTTCAATTTTTTATTAGTCCCTTGGCAAAGTTCAGTCTCAGTGTGAATTGCTTTGAGAGATGATTGGGGAATAAATGAGAAGAATTCCTTAGCTTCACAAGTTACCACAGTCCTGGAGGCTGGTGTTGCGTAGGAGTTAGAGGAGTCATTCCTCTAAAGTGCTGCACAAAATTCTAAAGTGTCTATCACATTGTTCATGTGTGGTTACCAATTGCTGTGTAACGAACTGCGCCAAATTTAGTGACTTTATAATTATTTTATTTGTTCACGATTCTGAGGGTCAGCAATTTATATTGGGCTCAACGGGGTGGTTCTTCTGCTTGGTCTCTTTTGGAGTCGCTTTTGCAGCCACTGTCACCTAGTAGTGTAACTGGAACCATGGTTCAGGATGACCAATATGTCTGGCAGTTGGTACTGGCTATTGGCTGGGCACCTGTCTCCATGCAAGTTTTCATCTTCCAGATGAGAAACCCTGGCTTCCTTACCTGGTGGCCACCTGTTCTAAGATACTAGGAGTGAAAGCTGCAAGGTATCTTAAGGATTAGGCTTGGACAGCTGCCAAAATGCCACATCCGTTGTATTCTTCTGCTTAGAGCAAGTTGCAAAGCCTTCCTAAATTCAAAGCAAGGAGAAACAGATTCCATCACTTGATGGGAAGAAGTACAAAGTTCTGTTGCAAAGAGACATTCATACCTGGGGCGAGGATTTACTATATCCAACTTTGTAAGCAGTCTACCACGTCCACTAAGCGAATGAAACTGGCAAATGCAGTAGGTGACTTACGTCTGGCTATATCAGGGAAGGTGGTGAACACAATCGTGATGAGATCCAGAGGTCAGAGGGGGACCTTGGACGTGTGAGGACACTGTTGTTTATTATACTATTTGATTGAGAACTGGGCAGGGAAGGCTTGTTGGACTGTGCCTGATTCGAAGTCTAGTCCACAAATTTTTTCCTGCGAATTAGACACTTGCTTCAGTTCTGCTACAGCATAGCTGGAGGCATCTGGTAGGGCCGGCTAACTTATGTTCTTAGATTTTCTTTGGCAGAAATTAATTTTTTTCTTTAGAATTTTTTTTTTTCTCTCCAAGGCTCAGTCTTTGGGTTAATATCGCAGATCCACAATTCATAAATTTGTTCCTCTTGGTTCATTGTTTCAGAATGAAACTTTTAATAGATTCCAAAGCCTTCATAAGAGTGCTGCCTAGTTACATAATGAAGTTACTATGCACGTGGTTGACAGGTAGTAATTTATTATTATCTTTGTCCTTGATAAGAGTTATGCCTTGCGCAGCGGGTGCCTAATAATTATTAGCTATAACAACATAAGCAACAGAAGAAAGTTTGTCCCTTTGTGTCTCAGTCAGCTGTTCACAATGCATATTCTTTTGTTGTCACCATGCCTGTTTTCCATTAATTTTATCAATTATATGTAGAGGGAACTATAGCTGTGTGACGTTATTATTGTTAGTTAAATGTCCTAATTTATCCTGCCACTGTACTTTGTTTAGCATAACAAAGTCACAATATTTTTCTGTGCCTGCGGTGAAAGACTGTAGTAAGCTGATCTTGCTAACAAGAGATAATTATTAGCTTTCTCAAGAATATTACCCTATATACATTACTAAGCGTTCCAGGAGGATTAATAGTTCTACGAATTTTGGACAGGCCGAGGTAGCGGTCATGTGAGATAGGGCTGTTTTAATATTTGTCCTTGGCCCATTTGCATATCTATCACTGGTAATTCGTTAATGCTGCTTGTGTTTCAGTCTGTGGTCATGCCGAGGATTAATGCACACTGCTGGCTGACACGCCCGGTGCCAAAGCACTAGGCAAGCCCGAACATTCCATGATTCTGGCAATCATGAGGCTTGCGTTCAAGAGCAACTTCTTTGCAGGGCGATGCTTTTCTGAAAAGTCAGCAGTGAAATGGCAGATTTCAAGCATGGTTCACTGACGTTCAAGGCTTTCTTTCTCCTATAAGAGCTATTCTGTCACTTGAAACTGCAGAGTTTTTGTTTGTTTGTTTTGTTGTTGTCACTGGGAACAGGCAGAGAGAAGGCAAGGGTATTTAACATTCGACAGAGAATTGCTGAAAGTCAGAGGTCGGTCAGTGGGGGCTGGGAAGGCTTTGATCGCCAAACTAAGTGTCTAAAAGAAAAGAGAACAGGCCGGTGGCGGTGGCTAATGCCTGTAATCCCAGCACTTTGGGAGGAAAAGGTGGGCAGATCAGGAGGTCAAGAGATCGTAGACCATCCTGGCCAACATGGTGAAACCCTGTTTCTACTAAAAATACAAAAATTAGGGGCAAGCCTGTAGTCCTAGCTACTCGGGAGGCTGAGGCAGGAGAATCGTGTTGAACCCAGGAGGCGGAGGTTGCAGTGAGCTGAGATTGAGCCAGACGGAGGTTGCAGTGAGCTGCCAAGTCCATCCAGCCTGGCGACAGAGCAAGACTCCGTCTCAAAAAAAAAAAAAAAAAAGAACCTGAAACATCAGAAACGATATGTACATCGATTGCACTGGACACCCTAACCAACCTGCATATTTGTATATGTTAAAACACGTAACTATTTTAATACATCCCCAATGAATTCTGCTACTTAGGAGAACTTTAAATAAATCACAAGGAGGCAAATATTGATATAACATTAACTTGAAGTTGGCATTTGGCCGTTATTATTAAACATGTATGAAGTATCTAATTCAATCATTCATCAGTTCAATTTTGTCAATCCACAAATAATTACTGAAGGTCTCATATGTGCCAGCTGCATGTTAGGTTTCTGGAATTCCAGAGGAGTTTGCAGTCTAGAAGAAAAGAAAGAAAAGCAAGCTGGCAGTCTCAGGGCGATCGTATGTATGATAGGGGGTCTGGATAGGTGACCCTGGAGGAAGCGACCTCTCTGGGAGGTGCGGGTGTCGGTGGAAGGAGAGCCAGGTCTTGCGGGATTAAGATCCAGGCTCCGGAGTTTGGACAAAGGAAGGCATTGAAGGCTTAAGAAAGGAAGTGGCATGATCAGGCTGCAGTTTGAACAGACTATTCTGCTTGCAGTGGGGAGGATGGCTTAACGAGGCGGCTTAGATTGCGTTGCCAAGACGCTGAGCCAGAAACGGGCTTCTTGGGCAAGCAATTTCTTGAGGGAGTGCTTTCAAGTGAAACCTGTAAGGGTGTGAGGGAAACACAAATAGGACAGGCTCAGAGGAGGTCTGGCCTCAGACTGATCCTGTCGGAAGTCTGGGGCATGTGTGGGGACACAGATTGCCCTCTTGAGCGAGGCAAGAGGACCAGCCTTTGTGCCCGCTTATCAGGCAGACGTGGCTGTGGGCTGGCCCCAGCTGGAAGGCAGACCTCCCGGGCTTTTCCAGGTGAGTGGTGCTTTTCTCCAGGGCGAGTCTCAGGAGAAGGGAACAGCTGTCTTGTTAACTGGCAGTATTCACAGCAGCGGGAGTGTGGGTGCCTCAGTCCAGGCAGGAAGAGCTGAAGAGAGAAGGAAGAACCATTTAAAGGGCTCTTGACATCCTCCACATGGGGGAGATTGCTTTCTATCGCTGGAAAGGAAAGGACAAATCAGTTCCTCTAATGGAAAATGCATTAGGCTTTCCTGAGAGAGCCCCCTAAGGAAGGAGAAAGAGCAATAGGACATTACCAGCAGTTTGGCTGAGGGCAAGACCTAAGAGGTGTATCCATCAACCATGAAGAAAAGAGACCCACGGTTCAGAATTAATCGGAGGGAAGGGAGTGGGACTTGAGTAACACAGAGGTATGCGACAGGCGAGCAGGGGCCAGGCTGTGCCAACCTCCTAAAAATAAATAATTCCCTCCTGTTTCCTTCAGAGTGCACAAGGTAATTTGCAAACATTTGCAGGCACGTTTTCACCGGGCTGAACCGCAGGCAAAGCTCCCACTGACTTCACAGGGAGCTCCCAGGGGACACACAGCAAGGTGAGGGCTTGGTTCTGGGTAATTAAGACTTATGGCACCCTTGTTCACAAAGAAATCCCAGTGCACATCATTGAAATGCAGCAGCCCTGCAGCTCCTCCACGGCCCGTGGCATTAGAAGCCCACTTGAGCTAACATTAATTTCGCTATCCTTCACTTTCTGAAATCAGAGGATGACATCACTTTGATTAAAAGGGACAATCATGTTACAGACAATCAGTAGAGTCAGCCTGTGCTGGTCGGTGTCCTCAGAGCCGCTCACTGATGATGGGGCTGGTGCTCTACGAAACAGCAAGAAATAGGAGTTTGTTGAGGTCGACTCTAATTCCGCTGTCACCTTCTGAGCAGGCAAATTCTCCCCGGTTGCTCCACCTGCACTCTCTTATATTTTCCTCCTTTTCTGCTTCCTGCTGTGTCCCCTTCTATAAGACACAAAGGTGCTCATGGGCAGTCAGGCCTGGTGGGAGGAAATCTCTGTAGAACACTCTTTGACCCCCCCTCTGGGTTAGGGTGATGGAGGGATGAGTACGTGAATTAGCAGATCTGTGTCAAGAAGCACCACGTGCAGGGTGCTGTGCTGGCCGTTAGGAAGGGTATGAAGAATTCTCCAACACATTCCTAACCCTCAAAGAGACTAAAATCTTGCTGAGGAGTCATATCTCTATAAGATACCCACCAACAGGGGTTGGCAGGGGTGAGCAGCACAGCTGTAGACCAGATGGCCTAGGTTCAAATCCTGGCTCTGCCACACTGGCTGTGTCACCTTATACAATGTCTGTGTGCCTCAGTTTTCTCATCTGTAAAATGGGTATGACAGTAATACCTGTCTCACAGCATATATGTGAGAAATTGACAAATTAATGGCCAGGCATGGGGGCTCACACCTGTAATCTTAGCACCTTGGGAGGCTGAGGCAGGAGGATCGCTAGGGGCCAGGAGTTCGAAACCAGCCTGCGCCACATAGTGAGACCCTGTCTATACAAAATATATATATAAAATTAGCTGAGCATGGCAAAGTGCACCTGCAGTCTCAGCTACTCAGGAGTCTGAGAAGGGATGATCGCTTGAGCCTGGGAGCTCGAGGCTTCAGTGACCTGTGATTGTACCATTGTACTATAGCCTGGGCGACAGAGTGAGACCCTGTCTCAAATGAAAAAAAAAAATGAAAGAGCTTAAAACATGGCCATTGCTCAATAATTGTGAACAAAGCCACAGACACTTATAGAGTATTTACTGTGCTAAGTTCTTTGTATGCTTTATCCAATCTAATTTGCAAGCAACATGAGGTGGGTACCATCATTATCACTGTTTTACCAACAAATGGAGGCTCAGACAAGTGAAGTGACTTGTATAAAACCATAAAGCTAGGAAGTGATGGAGATGGGATTTGTAACCACGGCCAAGGCACTTAGCTGTTATTCTATGAAGTGTCATTTATAAGAAAACCAATGACGGCCAATGTTTCAAATACTTTGAGAACAAAGAGCTAATTGGGAAGTGGAGCAATGAAGGAGGGTTTCTGCTGCGTCTTCCATTTGCAGGCAGGAGGTTCATTCATTACAGCCAGTATTTATTGAGCACATGGCACGATTAAGCACAGAGCTGGAGACATCATGAGTGATGCATGGCGTCACCTTGAAGTTGGAAGAGGAAGAAGAATAAATTAATCAAATAGGAGAGGAGCGGGGAGGTGGACTCTGGAAGGATCAGGAGCTTGAAGAGGGTGTGTCCCTTAGGGATGGAAAAATGTGGAAGAAGCAAGGGGAGCAGGAAAGTCTTTCTAAGGAGGTGGGATCTTGAGAGCATGGCCTGGGCAAAGGCTCAGGTATGAGACAGCCTAAGGAAACCCTGAGTTTGTAAGCATCTGAAGCCGTGGGTGGAGGTGTGTAGGATGGTGAGAGATCATGACAGTGACCAGCACCCTTTGAGTGTCACGATGTGTTAAGCATTAGCACGATCTCTTTTATTCTTACACTGGAGTGGGCAAACCATGGCCTATGGGCCAAATCGAGCCCACCACTTGATTTTGCTTGGCAGGTAAACTAAGAATGATTTTTACAGATGTAACACTTGCAATTGACTTTGATGATAGGGAACACTAACTTCAAACCCTAACTAAGCAAAGTGTTATCCTCCCCACAAAAAGAATTCTGTTATTCTCATCAGTAGGCCTGAATTAAAAAAAAATAAATACAGCAAACCACATTGCCATGTGTGTACCTGTGCAACAATCCTGCATGTTCTTCACATGTACCCCGAAACCTAAAACACAATAAAATATTTAAAATAAATAAATAATTGTCCTTGGTCAGGTACAGTGGCTTGCCCCTGTAATCCAAGAACTTTGGGAGACCAAGGTAGGAGGATCATTTGATCCCAGGAGTTTGAGACCAGCCTGGGCAAGATAGTGAGACCCCACCTCTATTCTATAAATAAATAAATAAATAAATAAATAAATAAATAAAATTGTCCTCAATTAATAATACTTTTTCTGGCTTTATTGAGGCACAATTTATAAATGAAAATTGTACATATTCAAGATATACAACATGACAATTTGGTATGCATTGTGAAATGATTACGACAATTGAATTAACATGTCCATCACCTCACATAGTAACTATTTTGTATGTGTGTGACACTGGAGATCTATTCTCAGCAAATTTCAGGTTTACGATACAGTACTATTCACTGTACTCATCACCCTGTACTCTAGAACCCCAGAACTTACGTGTCCTGTAAGTGAAAGTTTCTACCTTTTGACCAACATCTCAGCAACCCCCACTCCCAGCCTCTGGCAATCACCCTTCCACTCTCTCTTTCTATGAATTCCAATTATTATTATGTTTTAAATTTTACCAGTAAAAACACTGTGGATCTTTATTTTCTCTCTAGTTTTATAAATACCTATAGAGTAGCCTCAATTTTGCTTCTTGACTTGCAACACCAGAAATATTTACTATCTAGCCCTTTGTAGCAAAGCTTGCTGGCCCTTGTTCTTTTCCTTTTTTTTTTTTTTTTTTTTTTCTTTTTGAGACGGAGTCTCACTCTGTTGCCCAGGCTGGAGTGCAGTGGCGCAATCTTGCCTCACTCTCTGCCTCCTGGGTTCAAGTGATTCTCCTGCCTCAGCCTCATAAGTAGCTGGGGTTACAGGCACCTGACACCATGCCCAGCTAATCTTTATATTTTTAGTAGAGATGGGGTTTCACCATGTTGGCCAGGCTGATCTTGAACTGCTGACCTCAAGTGATCTGCCCACTTCAGCCTCCCAAAGTGCTGGAATTACAGGTGTGAGCCACCATGCCCGGCCAGGCATCGTTCTTATTTAAGGATAAGGGAACAGAGGCAGAGGGGGGATGAAGTGGTGTCGCTCAGACCACGGAGCTAAGACCAGGTGGAAGCAGGACCTGGACGCAGGTTGTCTGGACTGGCGCCCGATGCTCTGAGCCCACTTCCACCCGGTGTTTACAGAAGTCCAAGGAAGAAACTAAGGGCCAAACTAGGTCAAGAGAGGAGGGAATGGAACAGACAAAAGTGCGTGGATGTAGAGACAGGCAAGAAGGGGGCGTCCTGCTGTGCCAGGCTTCTCTGGCTGATCCAGTGTGTCACAGGTCTGAGCTAGAGGCCATGGGCACAAAAGGCTTGTTTCCCCTGGCAGAAAAGAATTCCTGGCTGCTATGGGGAGCAGATTTCTCACGTGGACGATTGGAAATATTTACAGTGCTGCAGGAAATGCTGGAGGAAGGGCAGGTGCGGCGGACTGAGGATAGGACAGAAGGAATGTTCAGCGTGGACAGGTTGAGCGGGAGATGCCTGAGGCATAAGTGTGTGAAGGAGAGAGGAGAAAAGCATCTGGGCTCTGGAGCCAGGTGTAGAGTTGGGAGTCATTGCAATGGGGGCTGAAACAGGGGAGACTGGAATTAATACGCTAAGGAAAGAAATCATTCCCTCTGCTAACAGAAGTTGAAAGGTTCACCTGCTCAGAAAGGACACAGGGGCAGAGCGCTTTCTCGTCTTTGAACTCTGTGGTAGACAGGGATGGGGGTTCATGTTCCTGGGTTCAGTGGAACCTGAAGAAGGAAACAAGGTTATTTTTGAAATGGGTTATCTGTGTCATTGTATGATGTTTCTTGTCACACATAGAAGACGCACACACACCAAAGATCATAAAAGATTTATTTTTTTTAAGCCCCAGTGTATATATTAACTTGCACAGAAGGGCGTTGGCTTAAAGAGAATGAAGATTTCCAAGTAAAACCAGAGGAAGAATGCTCGATGGCATTGAGAACGCAGGGAGAATTTCCTTCCAGTGAAGTTTCAGAAAACCAAAGGAAGCAGCAGCCTCTGGTTATATAATTCCTACCTGGGCAAGTGAAAATCTTTGATTATCTATTTATGTCCTGCCAATTCCAGAGCCCAGAGGAAATCAGTCCAGCCTAAAGGAAACTAATTTTGACCACTTCTCCTTTCCTCTCTCTTGTTTCATGGCCTCCTTAACCTTGAGGAGTTTGCATGTGAGTGCTCCAGGCTAATGTGGTAGTCCACGTAGGCAGATTCCGGAGGAGCAGGCGAGACCAGAGAGGAAGGAACTGAGATGCACGAAAGAAACAGTGATGCCACTGCCCAGCCGGGGGATTGCCAGCTGAGAAGATTCTTTTTGTTTTCTATGGGTTTCACCCAGGCTGGAATGTGGTGGTGCAATCATGG